TTTACAGCTGCAAAAACCAACCACTTCAGGAAAGTCAAGGTAATGGCCACAAGGACACAGAAAAATATAAGACAGCATACCTTCTTGACTCTCAGAATGGAGGGACAGAAAGGAATTTCTTTGGCTTAGCAAAAGGTAGCTATCAAAGTAAATAAAAATGTAAAGAAAAGATTATTTTTTTATTTTATATAACCAAGTCCATTTAAATGAAAACAAACATTTATAGACAATATTTGGGAATTTGGGCGTCATTCTTTCCAAACTACTTCCTGCTGGTAAGGGACGCTGTCATGGGGGATTCTAAGAAGATGCAGAAATCCTGGCTGTAGTCTGCAAGGCTGCTTTGTAAAGAAAAGATAATAATCAGCCTACTACTTTCCCCTATAATTAAGGAACTAGATACTTTTATGTTCAGTCTTAACTTCTGTTTTGTCCTTCATCTGTTGCCTTTATTCAGTGTACACCTGTGATCTCTTGCTAGGGCAAAAAGAGTATGAATTTGAGGACTACATAGTAAGGCCTTATCTAAACAAACAAACAAAAAGTGAGCAATCCAGATTGAAGGGAAGAAATAGAACTTCCCTATTTGTAAGACAAAAACAACTATATGGGCACTTCTGTGTCCACTATGACTTGTGTGTTCTTGGTAAGGTGGCGAGATAGATCACAATATAAAGTTCCATCACAACAAGAAGTACAGCAAACTGATTGTCACATGTGCTAGCTCAGTATATAATTTTGGAAATGTTTCACAGATTCATGAAGAACTGAGCCTGAATCTAACATATGTTCTGGCCATCATACTCCCAGGCCTACACCTAACAGAAATGGAGGTCCACAAAAGGTATATGCACAGATGTTTACAGCAGCTTTATTTCCAGCTGAGGTCAGGCAGTGTTGGGATGCAGAGTTCATGTATGAAGGCCTTAAAAGGGCTGTGAGAGGCCATTGCATGAAGTTGTGACATCTAAGCTGGGTTTCAATAAGACCCTCAAGACGTTGGAAATGTTCAGCCATGAGGCATCTGCCAAGGAGAGTTGTGAGCAGGGATTGAAACCGTCTCCAAAAGAGAGATGTATGTTGCAGGCAGCAAAGTGAGTGGGAGGCTGTGCTATAGGATTTATTGTTTTCCCTCCTGAGTTTCAGTCTTACTCTGGTCCAGGATTTTCCCGCTATACTCCCATCCCTCCCCTTTGGAAGGTAATACATATTCCTTGTCCTTGTATATTAGAATGTACATAATGTATATATAACGTAGTACTGCTTTTTAATTTTGAGACTCGGTTTCCGAAGAGACTACACTGGAGTCAGGGTTTTGAGAATTTATGGCCTCACCCTACTTCTAGCTCACTCTCTCTCTGCTTTGTGTGTTTGGTTGAAGATTGTGATCTCTGTTTCCTGCTCCAAAGACCATGTCTGCTTCTTACTGCTATGCCTTCCTGCTATAGTAAACTTTTATCCCTCTGAAACTAAGCCAGAATTAATGCTTACATAGATACCTTGGCCATGGTGTATTATCATAGCAAGAGAAAATACAGCATCCTAAATGAAAATGAGGACATGGTTGCTCTAAGGTATGGTTGAGGAACAAGGTTTTATTGTAGATATGAGGGAGAGTTCAGTCAGAGGCTTCAGTAAGGGTCCAAACTGAATGGGGCCATGAGTGAGGGGGAGCAAGAAGGGAAAGGGCAGTCAGACCAAGAGAAGAATCAAGGACCAACTATACTCAGTCATCGGGGCCAAAAGGGGCATTATGACATAGACCTTCTCTCATGATTAGGTTTTGTCAACTTGACACTAGCTAGAGTCATCTGTGAAGAAAAAACCTCAACTGAATAATTGTCTCCATCAGACTGGCCTATAGGCAAGTCTCAGGAACATTTTCTTGATTAATGATTGATGTAAGGACCTAGCCCACTGTGAATATGTCATCTCTGAACAAATAGACCCATCTAGTATAAAAGAGCAAGGTGAGCAAGCCATGAAGAGCAAACCAGTAACTGTTTTCCTCAGTAGTTCCTGCCTTGACTGTCTAGCGTCTGAAGTCTGTGGTGTGAGCCTGAATACCTTCAGGGTTCAAAAGTCAGGATGAGGGACCTGGACCTGGACAATACCCTGCTGTGGCTAAGAGGCTGATGATACTCCCTCCATGATGTACACAGGGACAATCATCAGTATACCAAACAGTATCCAAAGCCCTTTGGAAGCAACTACAAACACCACAGGCATGCTTCAGAGCTGACTCGCACAACAATGTGCCTGCAGAAGTCTGTGGTACTGAAGGGACCAGTAAGACACCATCAACAAGATGAGAGGGCCTGAGATATTACCACAGAGTATAGGCTGCAGAGTGTTGCTGGACATGGGCCCACAGGACCCTGTGCCAGCACAAACTATCACAATGTTGTTCCAGGGCCTCGTATTAATTCCTGACACAGAACCTAGAATGAGAGAGGCCAGATCCCACCTGGAAGAGGGAAGGTCAACTCCCACAGTGACTGGATGATGGGTCTGAGTGGCTGCAGTCCTGTCAATTGAAAACTAAGTGACCTACTGGCCAGTGAGGCTTAGGAACATCTGTCAGTGGCCCATATTGGCTTGTTCTGAAGATCACCCATGAGGCCCTTTTTAAGTCTCTAGGACAGAGTGGGAGATGGAGAGGTCTTCCTCCAGATCCTTATAACCTGCCCCAGGGATAATAAATGTGGTAGTTTGCTGCATCATGGCCGTGTCAACACCCACTGTGTCTGAGGGCTGTCTGCCCAACACATCAGCTTCTCCACTGGAAAGTGCTCTTTGTCTCACCAAGAGCAGTCTATTTTCCCATAATGAATGTCCACACATCTCAAGTTTGCCTGGTGAGATCACTCTTCCAAAATTAATGCAACCTGCTGGTCATGCTCACTGGGTTTGGTGGGCAAGAAGTTACATGTCCTGGAGGGCTTAGTAAAACATACTTATAAGAGGTGAAAGACAAGCTCTGAAAAGCTCAGGATCCTCCAGGGAAGCCTGTGGTGATCCCATGGCAATGGGAAATGTCATATTTTATTTCAAGCGAGGGGTCATTGACAGGCATGGTGGTACTTAGTACTAGGGAAACTGAGACTGAAAAGTCGGGGATTCAAGGTCCACAAAAGGATAAAAAGCAATACAGAAAGAAGTTTATTGTATTTCATTCACTCTGCCCACTTCTAAGAGGCACAAGGCCAGAGGAACTCTGCATTTGGATGTATCCATGTAGTATGTATGGACAGTAGGTAATACTAACTTGGAAAAGTTTGACAGCAGGCCTAGGCTGCAGCACAAATTTCTGTATGCTGGGCTTCTATGGGCTGTTGGAGAGAATGGAAATGTGCAGAATGAATTAAGGAAATATGTGTCCAGCAGGCCACCTGGAAGAGATGTAACTCTGTCTTAGCATACCAGAGACTGGTACTGAGAAAGGGTTCTTCCAATGGTCAGAACCTAGGTAATATATCCAGCCTATTTTGAATAGTAAATATACTCCTCACCCCAAAGGCTTCTATGTTAAACAATTCATTTCCAGAGAGTGATTCTGTTTTGAGAGATTCTAGATAATTTAAGAGGAAGGAAAAAGCAGGTCAATGAAGAAGTGCTTTTGAAGGTTACCCTTAATCCTATCCTTACTTTGCTTCCTGTTCCCCATGAAGTGAACACCACCACCCACAACACAAGTTACCATCTTCATGATATTCTGCCCAAGTGCATGGGGCTAAGCAACAAGGCACTCAAAGTTTATTGCAACCGTGGATGGCCCAAGGGTCCCAACTACTATTCAAGCTGATAGTAGACCTTTGTGTGATCCATAGGATGCTGATTTAGAAGACAGAATACAAAAATTACAGTTACAGGGTTATGTAGGCTTCCAGCCAGATTTCAAAGGAAGAGTTGGGAGGCCATATGTGTGACAAATCTGGGTTAGTTTTATGTCAATTTGTCACAAACTAGAGTCATTTGGGAAGAGGAAGCCTCGATTGAGAAAATGGCCTAACATGATTTGCCTATGGGCAAAGCTGTGTTGCATTTTCTTAGTAATTGATGTTGGAGAGCCCAGGCTCTGGTGGTCCTGGGGTGTATAAGAACATAGTCTGAGCAAGCTATGGAGAACAAATCAGTAAGTAGAACTTCTCCATGGCTTCTACATTAGTTCCTGTCTCCAGGGTTCTGCCCTGACTTCCTTCTATGATAGATTGTAATGTAGAAATGTAAGCCAAATAAACTTTGCTTATGCTCATTATGTTTAATCACAGCAATGGAAAACATAAGACACCAGCTTTGGAGAAACATGATAGGGGTTGTAAATGGCAATACCACAAAGACAGAACTGTCTAGCATATTAGAGTTCATATCACAATAACATGTACCCCAATTCTGGGAATGTATCTGCAGGGTTTAATATTTGTTTTGTTCTTGCTTCAGTTAAATCCTTTCTTGTCATTTACTTTCCTGTTGAAGTGGAGATGTGTACCCTGTGCAATTGTATTTCAGAAGTGCATAATGTTCTTTTTGATATTACAGAATCTCAAGGTAAGAGTTTTGTCTTGAGTCCCAGACTATGTGTACATAGTGTGACCTGTGGTGTATTGGGGGGGGGGGGTTGAGTGTGTATTTGTGTGTGTGTGTGTGTGTGTGTGTGTGTGTGTGTGTGTGTGTGTGTGTGTAAACCAAAGATCAATATTGAGTATCTTTTATATTGTTCTCTACTTGACTTTTCTGAAACAGGCATTCTTACTGAACCTGGAGCTTGCAATTTCAGAAAGACTGGATGGCCAGTGAGCCCTGGCCTGTCTCTGTCCCTCCTACCAGCACTAGGGTTATAAGCATATATCACCATACCCAGTCTTTACATGAGTGTTAGATATCTGAACTCAAGTCCTTACAATTGCACAGCAAGCATTTTGCTCACTGAGCCATCTTCCCAGTTCTAAATTTAAACTTTTGAACGGTTGGGAAAAAGGAAGAAGATAAACAAAAGTCACTCCAGCTGGGCACTCTGTAATGTTCATCCAAAAAGTAGATCCCAAGACTGAGATAGTGAAAGATACTTTAATAGGAAATGGGGGAACAACAAAGGAGCCCAAAGTCAACTGACTAGCTAATGGTAGGCCAGTTCAACCTGAGTGACCCCATTTACCAGTCAGCAGAGGCCCACTAGGAGCCAGTGGCCTTCATGAGGCAGGAATATCCAGGTAAATCACAGGGTCTGAGAAGGGGCCTGGCCGGGCCCAGTAGTCCAATGCTCGTACTCGATAGGAGCCAGAGACCATAGCTGTGTCTGCAGACACAAAAGCACATGTTTTCAGAAGTTCCTAAAACCTCAGACCCACCCCACACCATACTGTACTGAGGTTCAGCAGTATAACTGCCAAAGTCTGGGTTTTGGCACACCTGGGCTGAACACAAAGAGGTTAAAAGTAGACGGTCTCCTGCTGATTGGGGCATACACTTCACCCTTCTGGGAGAACTGGATCTCATATGTCCACAGGCACCTGGGGAGGGCTGGGTCAGTACTGAAGCTGGGATCAGGCAAACCCTGAAGTCCTATATGGGTAGGGTAGGGTGGACCCACAACCCTATACTCTTCAGAGTCCTTCCAGGCACCCCTAGGGTCCCTGGGTTCTCTCAAAGTTGTGAAAGGTCCCAGTGAGGAAAGAACACTGGAGATGACCACTGTTAATAACCTCAGCTCAGATACAAGTGGATCTGTGCAGGTGTGTACAGAGTAAAAAGTTACATGGCAATGGAGAAAGAAGTAAGATCACAAGGGCAATGGCATAGGGAAGGATAACCACCCCTACTCACGTACTTGGAGCCCACATGCTCATCCGACCAGACCAGAACCAACTGCCCACGTGTCAGGGGCAGTGCACGGAGCTGGCTAACCTGTGAGGAGGGAGTAGCTGTGAAGGGGTGAACTAGGCAGCCTCACATGTAGGGTAGGAAGCTGCAACTTGCCTGCCCTGGTGGCTTCAAGGGGCGTGTGCATACATGCACCAGCAGAAGTGATGGCAAAGAAACCTTTCTGTGTAGAGTCAGGCAGCCCCCAGCAGGGAAGGGAAGTGGTGCCTCAACCACTGGGTCCTAGGGACAAAGAGGGACATGTGGTTGTTAAACCTCCCCACAAACTAAGGAACCCCTTTTCCCCCCACTCCCTACTTGCTCACAAACCTCCAGCATTCGCATATGTCGGAATTGCTCGGCAGAGGGGAAGACTGGCTGGCCCATATGCTGCCACTCACTGTAGGGGCTGCAGAGTTGATTGTCTAGGTAGTGAACTACATAGACTAGCCCTGTGGACCCGGACAACATGGTTTACCTCCCTTGTCCCACCCCTGCTGGGATCCCAAATTCCTTCAGAACCCCACTCACCCAAGCCAGGGGGTACTCCACAAAGGTGAAGAGTCACAGGGATACTGCGGTTGAGGTGTACGTGAGTGTCATCACTAGTATAGATCAGGACTGTGGCACGCCAGGCCTCTGAGGAGACTTTAGGGCGATGGATGCTGGCCAGGACACCCACTGTGTGATTGCTGTCCAACACAGCCCCAGCCTGTGACACCTCTGCCCAGAGTTGTTCTCCATCTACAGGCCAGGCAAAGGACTTGGGCTGTTAGCTTGCTCATTCCCAGCTCCCAGTTTCCTACCCTAGTACTTAACTCCCACTACTTGCATATTGGGAAGTCCTACCATACTGTTCAGCCATACTCCTCAGAATGGGAGGAGGAGCTGAGGGTAGAAATTTGGAAAACTCACTTAAGAAACCTATACAACACCTGGAAGAAGTAAGTCTGTCCCTGGCCAGTATTTCCGTGTTCTCTTGACCCAGGTCCTCCTATGCTGATCCTTATCCAATCCAGGACATGCCAGACTACCATAGTATTTTCACTCTGACCCAGCACATGCAAAAGAAGCAGGGTTATTACTCACCCAACAGGGCCAACAGCCCCATGACTGTAAGGACTGGCTTTCGCAGGAGCTGGACATGGGGTGGGCAAGTATTGTTGACCTGAAAGCGAGCAGTAAGTGTTCGCTGGGAGAAAGGCTGTGGGTGGTAGCTCAGGAAGGCATTGTCATTGCTCAGGAGCACATAGCGCATGGAGGAACTGCTATTGGCAAACAGCAGGTTCTGGTGCTGTGCAATGACCTGTGGACATCAAGGCAGTTGGGACCTGTACCTCTGGCCACTTGTACTGTTCCCACCCCCACCAGAGGAAGGTTTCCTGAGGCCAGATGAGGCTAGACAGCAAGCACCCACCTTCACCACCAAGGCCGCATAAGTCACATCAGCTCTCCAAGGTTGTGGAAGTGACCAACCCACCAGAGGGTCTGCCTCGTCATTGTAAATAGGGGTGTCCTTGAACTCAGGGAAGAGCTGCTGGATTTGCTCCACAACTGCCACCTCCTGCTCCAGGATGGCCATGGAGCTGCCTGCACCCTGCAGCCAGCACATACCTCAGTGCAGGCTCAACTCAAAGAAGGCAGGGAGGAGTGGGGGAATCACATACCTTCCTGTGCAGGGAGATATAATCCAGACGCACGCCCACCTCACCAGTGAAGAAGTTGGTTCCATTGGCACAGTGATGCAGGAGGCTCCAACACATTGGTGACTTTGGCAGGGGGTGGAAGGAATCCCCAGGACCACCCAACCTCAACATAGGACTGACATTGTGCAGCCCCTCAGAGCAGGCATCATAGTAGTTCAGGAAGCCTAAGGCAGAAGGGTCTTGAGGGTCTAGGGTTGTGCTTCCCTCTCATGCAGCCCACTCAACAGGACCTGGGAAAAATGCTACCCACCTTGTATAGTCATGGACACATTGTCAAAGTCGTGATGGTCTGGTTCATTCCAAGTCTCGAAGTTCCACTTGGAAACATGTGTCAGCCCATACCTACCTGCAGAGTGTCTCTGCTGTTACACTCAGGAAGCTCTACCCTCAGGCTTTGGGATGGAGCCTACCTGGTGTCTCCTAGGAATTGGGCCCCATGGGGGGTTCCACTTGATAGGGGTTATCTGGTCCCAGGTAAGTACCCCACTCCCATCAGGTGAGTCCCTCACCTATCAGGCATCTCTGGCTAGGGTATAGGGATGTCTGTGGCAGAGAAGACCATGAGGTGGCCTGGGTAATCTGGGAAGAGGGCCTCCCCAGGACAGCCCACTGCAGCCCTCCTCCCCAATTTCTCCCCTATGCACCAATATATCTCCTGGCCAAGAGAGAAACCAAGTCCTTCCATTCAAACACCTGCTGCTTGTCCTCAAAGTCTGTGAAGTGCCCAGAAGGACTGCCCATCAGCTCAAATCCTGAAACACACAGGGGTAGCTGCCCCACTACCCAACACACCAAGCCCAGTTGGTATACATCTCACCAGCACCTCAGTCAGTGCTGAGATACCACCACCCACCAAGACATAGAATGGCAGGGAGAAAACTGGGTCACTACTCACCAGGGAGGAGCTGGTTCTCCATGAGGAGGTCCAGGAATGCATCCAAGTGTGTGAAGTTGTATATCAGTCCCTGCCCAGATGACTTTCTGTGGAGGGAAGGTCAGTACTGGAGAGCAGCGGTATTTCTCCACACTCTAGATTGTAACTAAGGCCACAGTTAAGTGTGTGGGTGCTCCAAGTTCCCAGGGTGATCCAGGCTTTTAGAGGAAAAGACCAGCACTGTAAAAGTCTGTCAAAGTACATACAAGTCTGTACACACTATGTACAAGAGTGTGTACTTAGAACACTATACTAAGCCTTAGAGACACTGAATACTTGGGACTAGGGAAGCTTCTATCACTCACAGTGGAATGTGAATGGGTGGGCATGCATGAAACCTTCAAGGGATTCAAGTAGGGCCAAGGTAAGTCACCACACTGAGGTGGGAGAGACAGTCAAGTTGTACAGGAAAGGTATAAGATAGAGATAGGGTAGGGAGGTGATAAGACATCTTAAAGACATGTGATATGGGAACAGGAGTATGGGACAGCAGTCAAGCAGAAATTGTTAGGCACTACCCTCATTCTCTACACTCTCCAAGACCAAAACTCCAAATTTGATCCAACAGTCCCTTTCCCTCTCTCCATACTAAAAAACATGGATGGACAAGAAAAGAAGATGGAGGGCTTCCTCAATTCCATACTGAGCCTTTTCTTATAGGGCTCAGTTTCTGAGAGGAAGAGTCATCAGACAACTCCCTGAACCTTTATCAAAACATCACAAGTTTGTCAGAGTGAAAGGGGAAGATGATCAGGGAGAAGAAACCACTTGGAAGAGGTAACATCAAAAATCTGCCAAGTGGTAGCGTGAGCCAGTGATGAGAATATCTGGGGAACAAGCAAGTACAAAGGTCCTTAAATAGAGCAAATTTATGGTAGTCAAGCAGTAAAGGCAGCTAGCTAGTCTAGGGCAGAATAAAGGTACAGAGCTGGGGGTGGGGTTACAATGGGAGCTTGTGACCACATGAAGATGGGACACGACTTAGGGCACCTGACTCAGAGCAAAATAGGAGACCTATAAGGTAGTGATGAAAGCAAAGCCATGAGGTTCCTGGGAGATCCCAGTAGTGGTCAGTTGAGGTGAAAGCAGGAGACATCAATAGGAACAAAGTAAGCAATGCCAGGACACTGTCTACTGTCAGATCTGAGGTGAGCTGTGGGCAATGTACAGGACAATTACATGAATTTCAGGACACTGATGCTTGGGCCTCTCCCTGGCTTACAATTCTGTGCAAGGGGTGAAAAGCAGCCATGAGGGCTGAAGACGCAGCTGAGGTAGCTTGAAGGCAACAGCCAGCAAGTACAAAGTGTCAGTCCTGCCAGGTTCTGAGGACTTACTAAAGGCAGGTTGCCCCAGAAGATATGTAACATGCTCATGGGTTTATGTAGAGTGGGATGGTAGGTCAGAGACAGTCTCCACTGTGTGTGGTAGAACCACCTCTACAAGAAGCAACGTAGGCCCATCAATTCCTCACTGTACATGGTCACATTGCTACTGCCCCCAAGTTTAGGTCCTAATTCTCCCAGCCTGCCCTCTGTGCTTTAGTGCTGGAGCCTCTGCCTAGAGCTACAAAACAGACCTGCTTAGCTCTTTCCCTTCCCTCCCAGTGGTCAAGACAGTGGCAAATAAATAAAATCTAACAAGCACTTGGATAAAGATTAAACACATGTTCCAAAGTCCCAAGTTGTTGGAGTCAGTTAGAAACTGTCACAGACCAGACAGAGCAGGTCTCAGCAACAGGGCTATTTCTGAACCAGTCTTTCACATCAGAGATGTCCCAAGACTCCAACCCTGTCTGGACCTGTCTGCCTGATACCCCTGTCAGCCCCCATAGTGATGCCAGACCATGCCCGGGGAAACCCTAGAAACAGTCCTTTGTCCTCACTGAGAATTAGTTCCCTTCTGTTGCCTTAGAGAGTGATGGTGTTAAAGAATCCTAAACTGGGGAGGGAGCAAATCAGTGTGGAAAAGTGTTGAGAAGTCTGCCATCTCCTGCAGAGCAGCCTGAGCCACAGCCCAGCTGCTCTGCCGCAGAGAAAGCAAGGCCACACAGGGGCTGCTCTAGGCCTCCTTCCGCTAGAGGCGGAGCGCGAGCGCTTAGAAAATGAGGCCGCAGCTGCTGGTGAGTGCCTGGGTGAGCCGGACTGAGCTGGGGGGGGGGGAGGACTGGCGGGGGAGGCGAAACGCACCCGCAGAGGAGTGCAGCAGTGCCAGGCTGCACCAGGGCGGGTGCGCGCTGCAGGCTTGGGAGGACCAGGGCGGCGAAGAGAACATGGGCTGTGGACGCCGACTATGCAGGATGCCAAGCGGGATGGGGGGGGGGGGAGGGGCTGCGTGGAGCACTGAAACTGCGTGGAGAGAACCTGAAGCCCTAGAAAGGTGCGAGCTCGGCCGAGTTTGAGAGAAGAAATTCTGATCTGGTCCTGGAGCCTGTGTGGTCCGTCATTTTCCACTGTTGTACATGGTATAATGTTTTCTTCCCAAATATGTATTCAAGATTTAAATGGTGGACTTAGAGATAAAAGAAGGTAATCACTGAGCCGCATAGGACCAAACAGACCTATGGACCCCATACTCCTGCCCTATGTGTCCAGCAGCAAGCCAAGAACCTTGCAGCTCAATGGGCACATTCGGGTGCGACAGTGGGCCTGGTCACACCATTGCAGCACCGCCCTGAGTGCACAGAGCTGTAGAGGCAGAAGAATGAGGGGAGCAAGGAGCGACATGACTTCATCTACATTTTAATTGGCTGTGGACATTGGCAGGGCAGTAGAGAAGGGAAGGGCTATTCCTACAAGGTTTTCTTTGCTTGAAGGTGAATACTCACCCTGTCCTTCACCCCAGCACCTGTGTTTCTACAATCCTTCTCAAGGATGTAGTAACAGTACATTCCCCAGGTGCCTCTCTGTGGACAGCTGGATAGGTTATCACTTTATGGCACCCGTGGTAGCTATCCCCACCACCACTAAAAGAGCTTTTATCCGACAAAAGAGGAGCTGCTCTGACTAGCCCCACCACACCCAATCGTAACTGCTCATGTAAACCACATTTCCCAACTGCTGTGCAAACAGTGGCTCAGGGCTTGCTGCAAGGAAAAAGGGAGGCCCAGTCCTACAAAGGTTCTTCCAGGAACAGCAGACCCACTTGGAGAGATAGGACAGCGTTCAGGAGGGGCTCCTGAGAACAAGGTGGAGGAATATCTAACCCTCAGAGCATCCAGTCCTGCCTAGTCTCACAGTCAGGCTTTCCATTTTGGCCATTCTACCCACATTCCCTTTTCATGTTACCCACAAGCAGGGTGTTGGCCATGCCCATGACTGCCAAGAACTGGACAAGGCTTGCAGATGTCCCAAAGGAGTGTTCAACCTGTGAACTAGAAGGAACTCTGAATCCTTATTATCTCCTGACCTGGAGGAATGGAGCCTCAAGGCCCCAGCTGGCTCTGCAAGATGACTGTTGATCCCAAGCCCTTTCTCAAGACCCTTGGGGATAAGAGGAACAAAACATACAGTTTCAATTTGTCCAGTCCCAAGGTAAACTGCCCACTGTGCTTGGGCCTGTGGAGACAGCACATCAACCTAGCTGGGCCTTCCAGCCATAATGAAGGGACCATCTCCAGGATGGGAGGGTATCCAGAACACAGCAGCCCACAGAAGAGAACCACTTACTTTCAAACACATGTGAGAGGATCAGTGTGGGTCTGAGGTTCTGACTAGCCTTACTGAACTTAGTGGCATTCCTCAAGTCTGAGGGCACTGGTTAATTATGCTAATGTTAAAGGGCTATCCTTACAAGGCAAATCCCATGTCCTATAGAGGTACATAGGGGCCAAGCACCTAACCATGATTACAGGTAGTCAGTACCAGGAAGGAAAGAAAAAGGAGGGCAGAAACTGAGACCAATCCAGGGTCCCTGCCTCCAAGGGAAAAATGACAGTCCTTGGGCTGTACACAACACAGGCATGTGTTCACTCACTCAAGTATTTAAACACAAGCAGCAGCCTTGTTCATATACTGCACACAGAGACATGGAACAGAGTCTGAGCTTCAGCCTGTCCCAGCTAGAACAGGTTCCATGAAGGTAGAGAAAAGATAACCACCATCTGGGTAGGTGGAGTCAGCTGTACACAACCCCAGAAACTCATAGCCAAAGCATGTTACTCAGCTCCTCTGGGGCCTCACTACTCCTGTCCCCACCTCTTCCTCCTAACAATACAGAAGCTGTTGTACCTGGAGCATTTACCCCCCTGCAGAGGGGAGTTTATCAGAGGCCCACATAACCATAATTATTTGTGAGCCTCTGATTATAGTACAACTCGCTGGATTAGCTCACAGGATTAGATGCTCAGGTAACACTCATTTGGCGGGAGAAACCTATGACTCAGCTATTTTGGAAGTAAATAATTTAACAGGGAGCCCAGCACAGTATTCCCAGGTCAGTCTCAGAAGTGCCTGCCAACCTTGTTCTCCGCCTGTTAACAGAAGTCAGAGTGATTGGAAGTTCATCCCACCGCAGCCCCTGGATATTGCAAAGCCTACAGAGCCAACCAGGTGTCCCAGGTAAGAACTGTCCTTGTACCCAAACAACAGGCCCCAGAAGATGTGGCTTACTGGCTAGAGACAGGAACCTAGACTGTCGCTTCTCTGGGAATTGCTCAGATACAAGGCAGGTGACAGTTATTATCCTTCCTCCACTCATGAGTCCCTAAAGATATGGGGTGAGCCTCAGAGTGTTCAGTGGCTCTTTTGTAACATTGTTCTCCTATTCCTCAAGAGCTAGGATGCCTGATAGACCACCTTATCAGGGAAGCTGCTGTTCCAGTACCCAAGCCAGGCACAATAGGCTCCAACAGTCACCACCTTTTCCTGAGTCCCAAGGGAACAGGGACTGTTTGATTAATATTACAAACAAGTACTTTGGAACCTGTAAACAGGACCCAAGGTCACCATGTGGTCATCATGGCTTGGGAATCAAGGCAAGGTCAGAAGGGGCTAGGATAGCTAGGCCAAAGGTGGACTTCTGTGGAGCGGTATACTTGTTCAGTATAGTTGAGCCTCTTGAGAGTAAGGAGCACACTGGTTCAGGAGCACACTTGTGCCTAGTGAGGCACCCTCTAAACTCATGGGGAAGGGTGTCACAAATCAGGGGTCCCAGAACACCATATGCAAGGCCTTCTGCCAACCTCCAGACCCATGGTGTTCACAGAATGGGTGATGGCTTAGTAGAATGCATGTGGAAGTGGGTGACTGGCAAAGCCCCTTGCCAGACCAGATGGGATGGGCAGGGACTTGGAGCTCAAGCTCAGTCAAACATGTATCTGCCTCTATTGTTACTGGCTTGGGCATATGTGGGCCTAATCCAGCCCTTGTCTTGGTGGGTGACCTTCAGAATGCTTTAGGTGGACTTCACATAGGAGCTGAGCACAGCTAGGGATGAGGCTGTGTAGAGTGGTTCCCTGAAGCACATTGCTGTCATGAGCACTCTCACCATAAAACTAGCTTTTGGAGCTCAAGGCTTTACATCCATCTACACTGAAGAACAAGCACCTGATGGAAGGACAACCTCTGATGTTTGTGTTTAGGTGGACAAACACTCACTGGGAAGCTGGCTCATAGGCTCTGAGAGCCTGAACTCCTAACCATGCCCATTCTCCCTTGCAGGCTGGCCAAAGAGCCTGGTGTGACAGAATGGATGCTTCTCCTGAGTCCCAACAGAAGGGTGGGACTCTAGTGCTGGTCCGACGACAGCCCCCTGTGTCCCAGGGCTTGCTGGAAACACTGAAGGCCAGGATGAAGCAAAGCTGCACCTGCAGTATGCCATGTGTGCAGGCTCTGGTGCAGAATTTGTTTCCTGCCATGCACTGGCTGCGTCATTACCGCCCTAAAGAGTACCTGGCAGGTGATGTTATGTCTGGTTTGGTCATTGGCATTATCCTTGTGCCACAGGCCATAGCCTACTCACTGCTGGCTGGGCTACAGCCCATCTATAGCCTCTATACTTCTTTCTTTGCCAACCTTATCTACTTTCTCATGGGCACCTCACGTCATGTTAATGTGGGCATCTTCAGTCTGCTGTGCCTCATGGTAGGTCAGGTGGTGGACCGAGAACTCCAGTTGGCTGGTTTTGACCCCTCCCAGGATTCTCTGGGGCCTAGGGACAACGGCAGCACCCTTTACAACTCAACTACAACACTGGTGTTTGGGCTACAGGACTGTAGGCGGGACTGCCATGCCATTCGAATTGCCACTGCCCTCACTCTGGTGACTGGACTTTATCAGGTAAGGTGTTATCCGCATAGCAAGCAGGCTAGCTGACTGGGTTCTTGGAGCACCTAAAGGTGCTTGCCATTGCCACCAGGAAAAGCCTGGAATCATGTGGAGAAAGAATCCTTCAGGCTCAGAGAGAAAACAGCAGAGCAAGGGCAGAAGTGGAGCCCAGGCCTAGATACCAGAGGGACTTAAATCACAGAATGGAGGAGCATGTAGGGCTGGCCTAGCCAGCTATGATCTGAGTAGGGCCACTGGGCCAAATGTGGTCATGGCTCAGATAAACTAGCCTATAACTTCAATGTCCACCTTGGCTTTCTGACGCAGGCAGAACCTAAGAGTAGAGATGCATTCCCCTGGCCTCCCCACACCTAGCTTTTTTTTTTTTTTGGCCTACCCTGTCTTCCCTATTCCTCCTGTCCTATGGCTGCTCAGGAGAGAACTGGGTGGAAGGAACCTGTGCTACATTCAAGGCACAGAGGAAGGGCCTGCTTCCTTATGCCTACAGCCCTGATTCTGAAACAAAAGCAAATTTCTGCATGTGTGAGAAATGAACATCCACAGCCAACTGCAACATCCATGTTTTATGTCGCTGTGTTTTCTGGCCCATTACACATGTGGAACAGCAGGAGTCCATTCAGGGGAGTAAGGAAGGGTAGATACCAGGTTCTGTGCTGTAACCCTACCCCTTGGGCAATACTGATGCTGGCCTACCAAACTGACTGTACTCCATCTACAGGTCCTCATGGGTGTCCTCCGGCTGGGCTTTGTGTCTACCTACCTCTCACAACCACTGCTCGACGGTTTTGCTATGGGAGCCTCTGTGACCATCTTGACTTCTCAGGCTAAACACCTGCTGGGTGTTCGGATCCCTCGGCACCAGGGCCCAGGCATGGTGGTCCACACATGGCTGAGCTTGTTGCAGAATGTGGGACAGGCCAATATTTGTGACATGGTCACAAGTGCCGTGTGCCTAGGAGTGCTGATAGCAGCTAAGGAGCTCTCAGACCGCTACCGACACTATCTGAAGGTCCCAGTACCCACAGAGCTACTAGTCATTGTGGTGGCCACAGTTGTATCACACTTTGGACAGCTCCATACTCGGTTTGGCTCAAGTGTGGCTGGCAGCATTCCCACTGGTTTTGTAGCCCCACAGGTACCAGACCCTAAGATAATGTGGCATGTGGCCCTGGATGCTATATCCCTAGCACTTGTGGGCTCAGCCTTCTCCATCTCATTGGCAGAGATGTTTGCTCGTAGCCATGGCTACTCTGTTCATGCCAACCAAGAGCTTCTGGCTGTGGGCTGCTGCAATGTGCTGCCTGCCTTCTTCCACTGTTTTGCCACAAGTGCTGCTCTGTCCAAAACTCTGGTGAAGACAGCCACCGGCTGCCAGACCCAGCTGTCCAGTGTGGTCAGTGCTGCTGTGGTACTGCTTGTGCTGCTGGTACTGGCTCCATTATTTCACGATTTGCAACGGTGTGTGCTGGCTTGTATCATTGTTGTCAGCCTGCGAGGGGCATTGCGAAAGGTGAAGGACCTCCCACAGCTTTGGCGGCTAAGCCCTGCTGATGCACTGGTCTGGGTGGCTACTGCAGCCACCTGTGTGCTAGTCAGCACTGAGGCTGGACTGTTAGCGGGGGTGTTCTTCTCACTGCTCAGTTTGGCAGGCCGCACACAGCGTCCTCGGGCTGCCCTTCTTGCTCGAATTGGAGACTCAACCTTCTATGAAGATGCTACTGAATTTGAGGGCCTCCTGCCCCCACCTGAGGTGCGAGTATTCCGTTTCACGGGCCCACTCTACTATGCCAACAAGGACTTCTTCTTGCAGTCACTCTACAGCCTCACAGGGCTGAATGCAGGTCACCTAACCACCAGGAAAGAGAAGAACCCAGAGGTAGGTGTGGATTGCAAGGATATGGGTTCAGTGAACAGAGGGGCCGGGCTGGTGATACCCCTGGCATTCGGTTTCCACACAGTGGTCATTGACTGTGCACCACTGTTGTTCCTGGATGTGGCTGGCATGGCCACACTGAAGGACCTGCAGAGAAACTATAGGGCCCTGGACATCACCCTGCTTCTGGCTTGCTGTAGTCCTTCAGTGAGAGACACACTGAGGAAAGGGGGCTTCCTTGGGGAAGACCAGGGAGCTGAGGATGAGCTGCTGTTTCCCAGTGTACACAGTGCCGTGGAAGCTGCACATGCCCGCCGTGAGGAGCTGGTGGCTACTGACTCTGCCTTCTAGCAGGACCAAGACCCATGTGCACAAGCCAGTCCTGAGCTCCTTTGTAGGAGTGATATGAAGGATGGAGTCATTAGAAAGATATATCCTTGGACCATCTCTGCCTTGGGAAAAGCTAGGGAACTCCAAATGGAAGGAAAGTGCTGCACCCTTAACACATTCAAGGATTCCACACATTCAGTGATTGAGATCCTCTACCTCTGAGACCACTGTTGCCTCCTGGTGCCTATTCAACCCTGGTGGTTGCACCCACACACTAGATCCCTCAGCTAAGCAGTGAGTGCCAAGTTTGACAGTCTGTTATCTGAAACAGAGTCCTGCTAATTATATGGCCTCCCCCTGAATGAGCTGAACATATATATGGCCAAGGGGTAAGGGTCTGAATTTCCAAAGGGCCTTCTCAAGCCCGGTGCTCATCTTGGTTGAACCCTTGCAAAGGCAGTCACCTGCTCCAGAGCAGATAGTCCCATGTCACTGTCTAAGATGATGTAACTAATATAACCCCAACCTGACCTTCAGGCACTATGTCTCTATACAGCTTATACTGGTGAACACAAAGTGGTACATGTATGGTACAAAGCCAGGCACAGTAGATACCAACCCCATTCTGCATTTCTAAGAAACCCTCAAAAGGAAACCACCTGTGCTCCATCCAGGGCCTGCCCTTGGCATAGCCAAACAGACCTTCCCCTCCTCTTCTGCCCAACAGGATGTTCTAATAGGAAGTACAGTTCCAGTCCTGTGCCTTACCATGATGATACCTAACCCACAGCCCAGCCCTGTGCTCCACAGCTGGCCCTGACAGGGTCAGATTCACCATCTCAGCATCTTTGTAAGACAAGCTCTAACCAGCAGCTCCCAGGGCACCCACCTCAGCATCACCCACCTTGTTGTAATGAGATCCAGCAGCCAGTGTATCCGGACCTGCTCGATGCCACTGTGAGGTACGGCACCTATGTAGGCAAGGTTCAGTTGCTGGTCCCAACTAAGGTCGAACTGGTAAGCTTGGTCGTGAGGTAGTGGGGGGCTGGGGACAGGACAAAGAAGCGAAGTTTATCCTAAGCAGGAGCTTGCAGCAGACATTTAACACATGACTTGCAGGCCCTTGCAGAGCATCAGTATCTCTCCACATTCTATGATAAAGTAGCCCTTTCGCCAGAAATATCCTACAGTCTTGTCTTTGGAGGGTGGGCTTCTATGGCAGGCAGATGTCTCCTCCAAAAGGGCACCAGAGACCTAAGCGGGAGGGCTGTGTCAACACGCACCAGGTATGGGGTCTCAGCCAGAGCCAAGGGTTTGGCCAAGAATGTAGCTAGAAACGCCAGCGCAGCAGCGGGGGTGGGGGGTGGGGAGGGGTAGGTGTCTAATATGACATCTGTCTACCATAGAAGAGAATCTGCAAATTCCTAGAAAGACTTGGAGGTATTCAGAAACCAAGTCCAGTCCAACACTCGAGATCAGGACTTGGTACTTTGGGAGAGTCCCAGGTTCTGCCCAAGTACCAATAATGAGCCTATAGCCTGAGTACCATGCTCTTGATCCCTGAGGGCCATTAGGAAGACACACTATAATGTAGAAAACCCGTGCCACACCCTGAAGGAAGGAGTTTGATCTTCACTCCTGAGTGTTCAGGAATGATGGGCAGAGAACCCAAAGGGATGATGACAGGAACCCAGGGGACAAGCAAGAGACTTTCCTGGGCTTGGCAAGAGCATGTGGTGGACCTCACCAGAAGCCGGTGCTCTTCCAAAAGGGCAGCAGAGGCCTAAGCGGGAGGGCTGCGTCCACACGCACCAGGTATGGGGTCTCAGCCAGAGCCAAGGGCTTGGCCAAGAACGCAGCTAGAAACGCCAGCGTAGCAGAGGGGGGATGTGGTGAGCGCATAGCTAAGGTACCCTGGCGCTCCCGATCTGCAAGCCTTTAGGTCCGGGTCGCAGTGGTTCTGCCTCCGGGTAGCGTCCCACGTGATCGCTAGCCAGGCCCGGACAGGATAGGACCCAGCACGCACCGCCTCTTCCCCTAGCGAGTTCCGCCCAAACGAACACTGGCAGTTTTGGGGAGAACAGTGGCCTTGGGTGAGGCATGTCCGGAAAGGTCTCTCAGGAGGCCGACAAGAAGTCTGAAAAGCAAATCAGACACAACTAAATCTCGTGAGGAGTGGAGAAGAGCTGTACCAGAAGATGGCGCTGCGAGATTGCTCCAAAGGATTGTGTTTGGGGAGAAAGTCCAGAGCTTTGGCAGAGTGGATCTAGGCCTTTTCCTGAAATGGTGCTGCAGTAAGACAAACAGGCATGGTCAGAGACGCTTCAGAAGCCAAAGGTCAATCGTGGGTGCATGTGCAAGTTAACAGTGCAAGTCTTTAAGATTTGAATTGTGCATACGCACTGAGTAGGATATTCGCAACAGTGGAACAGAAGCAACTAGGCTCTAAATCTTGGTAGCACATTGTCTTTAACTTCTGGGGTTCCCTCAACAATAAAGTCATTCAAGTTTCACAACCCCATGAAAAACCCCTTTCTCATGCAGTCCTCCCCTGACACCTACAGTAGACCTTCCCTGGGTTCAAACAAGTGTCGATAGTTCCTTAGGTTTTAAGTCTTAGGTCCTCAGGACCAGCTGGTAAAGAGAAGGTTTCTAGGTGGAGAAATGAAAGTTCTTATGTCATAACTCTATTCAAGGATCAGAAACTCAGGAGCCCATGTGGCATTTCTTCAGTGACTGAAATACAAAGTTCAGTGTCCATAGAAACTTCTGCATACTACCTGTTAGGATAATCTGTTCTGTATGAAGAATGATGTATGGAAGCTGTCTTGAGTTAGTGAGTTTATTAAACACATAGCAAGCAAAAATAAAATAGCAAATATTAAGTAGTGAATAGAAGCAGCCAATAGCAAAGCTTCAATGTTGGTCACTACAACACCAAACAGAAAGGATTGGATAAAACAATTGCACAGAAACGTTCTAGGGGAAATAGTAAATACCCTGGAGAAAACTGCCAAAAGGGTTAGTGGAGCATTTTAAATAACCTAAAAGCTGAAGTAAGAGTAAAGAATCCAGGCTGAAACTAAAGAGGGAGACAGCAGTGGGAGTAAGATTGTCTCAGACTAACCTTCCTTTGAACAACCAGTGATGGCAGGATCTTTAGGGTCACAGCTTGGGAAACAGTTTCTCTGTGGTGAGACTATTGTTTACAGCTGGAGATTTTCAATCATTGAAGCAGCAGCCAAGAAGCTGTGAAATTGGGACAGTCTTATGGGGGTTGTAGAACAGAAGCTGAGAGTCAGGCTCAGCACATTAGAGGACTATACTCTGAAGACAGAAACTGAATTGCCCTCACAGGAACTCAAACTCCTCATATCCAGAGTGGAGTGGAAGTAAGTATACTCCATCTGACAGAAGAGGACATATTCCCTCCACTCTAGGAAGCACAAGCTAATGAATCATCAGTGTGTGGTTAACTGGTGCTGGAATGGATCCTGGGTCAGGAAAAGATGATTAATCACAAAGATTACACTTGGAAAAATTCTTAACCTGAAAATGTACTGTATGTTGCTCAATAAAATTCTATCAATCACAATTCCAAGGTGGTTAAATGACTTGACTACATCACAGTGGGAATGGAGATGCACTAGTTCCTTTCATATTTGCGTGGACACATTTGGAATCAATGGGTTTTGTCCAAATGGACAAACCAAGGAGTAATAATATGATTACAACATAATATATGAAGAAAAGCAAATTCATCAAAAATGTTAATGATTGGTGGACCCAGGGTAAAAATATATACTACTCTCCTAACTTTTCTGTACATTTGAAAAAAAAATATTATTATTGAGACAAGGTATCTGTATGTAACCCTGCCTGGGCTGGAACGTGCCATGGAGACCAGGCTGGGCATGAACTCACAGGCATCTGTTTGCCTCTGCCTCCTGAATGCTGAGATTGAGATTAAAGGCATGTGCTACCATGCCTGGCATTATCATTATTATTATATATTTTGAGACAAGGTTTCTCTATGTAGCTCTAGGTATCCTAGAACTCTGTCTGTAGAGTTCTGGCCTCAAACTTGGAGATCCTGCCTCTGCCTCCCAAGTGCTGGGATTAAAGTCATGTGCCACCACATCCAGCTGCCTATTTCTTTATTTTATGTGTACGTGTGAATGCCTGCATGTATGTATGTATGTATGTACACCATGTACCTGCCTGGTGTTCATGGAGGCTAGAAGTGAGTATCAGATGCCCTAGAACTAGAGTTACAGATAGTTGTGAGCCACCATGTGGGTGCTGGGACCTGAATCTGGGTCTTGTGAAAGAAAAGCAGGTTCTCTTAATCACTAAATCATCTTTCCAGTTCCTTGAAATTTTTTCAACATAAAAATGTTGAAGAAAATGGAGCTGGAGAGATGGCTCAAAGGTTAAGAGCACTGGCTGCTCTTCCAAAGGCCCTGAGTTCAATTCCCAGCAACCACATGGTGGCTCACAACCATCCATAATGAGACCTGGTGCCCTCTTCTGTATACACTGTATACATAGTGAATAAACAAATCTTTTTTTTTTTAAGTCCTTTAAAAAATGTTGATGAGAAAACATAAAAACTACAAGAAAACTTACCAAATGGCACAATTTAAATTGGTCTGTTTTGTTGTATGTAGATCATAAAGATAGCAGAACCTTAATGGATTAGGTTAGCTACAAAGTAGATCCAGCTGAAGACAGGAGTAAGGAACTGAAAGATAGATTTGGGAGACTGTTCATTCTGAAATATAGGAAAATATTAACAGAAACCACAGGACAGACTTGGAGAAAAGGTCTAATGGTATGATTGAATTAGCAGCTGGAAACAAGGGGGAAACAAGGCCATAGTGATAACTTTCTAAAAGTGAATTAAGAAAATTAGGGGCCAGATCCGCCTATTTCTGCGGGTCCACTCTGAGTTCCCGCCAGCAAGATCCTTGAACCCCAAAGCAGGGCCTCTGCTAAAGAAAGAGGCCTCAGCTGGAGAGTGCCAGTTTCCAGTGAAATCTGACTATCCTACAGACACTTCCCAAGAATCAGCCCAGCCTTTGTACTCTTCTGCCAGCCATTGGCTAGAGGTGAGTCTGGGCCCAATTGGGGCTGCCTCTCCCCTACAACCTCCCCGCCCCCAACTCCCAGGGTTGGCCCCTGACCCCACTGCTCCTGTCTCTGTCCCCATCGAGAGCACCCTTGGAGCTCTGATATACCCCCATCCATCTCCACCGCGAGCCTGCACCCCCTACCCTGTGCCCTACCCTGCCCACTGTCACACCTCTCTGGTTGAGCACTGGGATAAAAGGTGGAGCCAACAATCTACACTACATTGCAGATTTCTCGGAGCAACTCTGAACAAAGGAGACCGGCCTATCCACGCAGGACCATACATAATTTCCACCTGCTTGGTCTCTGACCCCACCTCCAGTCCTCTGCTGGAGTTCCGGGCCCCTCCCAGAGACCTGCCTATCTCTGCTGGACCACTCTGAGTTCCTGCTGGCATCTTCTACTGGCTCCTCATCCTGGACCCCATCCCTGGCTCCCTGTCTGCGGAGAAACCTCCTATAGAGCTTGGACCATACAGAGCTACAGATATTGAATCTCTGACCCACATAAGCCCATCGGGGAAGTACCATAGAGAGAGGGGGAGACCCCACCAACACCTACTGGAAGAAGCTATGGGAAGACGGCAATACAAGAAAACACCTAACAACAGAAAGACAAGCATGACACCACCAGAATCTAGGGAATCTACACCAACTAGAATGGAACACAACAACAAAGCAGAGGAAGCAGAAGGGTACGACTTAAAAATTACCATCATAAAAATGATAGAGGCCCTCAAAGAAGCTGTGAGAAAATCCCTTAAAGAAATGGAGGAAAAACAAACAAAAAAGTGGAAAAAAATTCCTTAATGAAAGTAAAGAAAGTTCAGAAAGCCAAAAAAAAAAAAAAAAAAAAAAAAAACCCAAGCAGGTGAAGGAAACGGTTCTAGACTTGAAAACTGAAATAGAGAAAATAAAGGCAACACAAACCGAAGGGATGCTGGAAATAGAAAAACTGGGCAAAAAAAAAAAAAAAAAATGGCAACTACAGACACAAGCATAACCAACAGAATTCAAGAGATGGAAGAGAGAATCTCAGGCGCAGAAGATAAACTAGAAGAAATAGATTCATCGACCAAAGAAAATCATAAATCCAACAAATCCTTAACACAAAACATCCAGGAAATATGGGACACCATGAAAAGGCCAAACCTAAGAATAATAGGCATAGAGGAAGGTGAGGAAGCCCAGCTCAAAGGTGCCAAAAACATATTCAACAAAATCATCAAGGAAAACTTTCCAAATCTGAAGAAGGACATGCCCATGAAGGTACAAGAAGCATACCGAACCCCAAATAGGCTGAACCAAAGAAAAAAGACCCCTCGACATATAATAATCAAAACACCTAGCATACAGAATAAAGAAAGAATATTAAGAGCAGTGAAGGAAAAAGGACAGGTAACATATAAAGGCAGACCTATCAAAATTACACCTGACTTCTCCATGGAAACCCTCAAGGCCAGAAGGTCCTGGATAGATGTTCTAAAAGTATTAAGAGAACACGGATTCAGCCTAGGCTACTATATCCAGCAAAACTCTCAATCACTAGAGATGGAGAAAACAAGATATTTAATGACAAAACCAGATTTTCCTAACACGTATCTACAAATCCAGCCCTACAGAAAGTATTGGAAGGAAAACTCCAACCCATGGAAAGTAACTACTCTCACAAAAATGTAGGCAACAGATAATCTAACTACACCAGAAACCAAGGGTAAAGCTGAACTAATATATTCACAATACCACTGCCAACAACAAACCTAAATCAAACAAGCATCAACAATCAATGGTCCTTACTCACCTTCA